CGCCGGCAACAAGACTTCCCCGTGTTGCCGGATAGAGTTGTCCAACTGTCCCCTCAGTGTGACAGGGCCTTTACCCCTTGGCTCGACAGCCGGTTCGTTTTCCAGGAAGGAGAAGAGAAGGTTTTGGCCGCGCTACGGGCATTCCGGCAATCTTTGCTAGAAGCTCCGGAGCCATTCCTGCCGCTCGTGCGTCGAACACGTGTTAGCGCCGCGATTGCGAAAACGTCTTCGAAACGACCGCGGCGGCCGCGGAAAGGGGATTCCCCGGCAGTTGAATGACATGAAGGCAAATACCGATCCCAGAGCTGTGGTCATGTTCCACGGGGGATCCATCGCCGGCGCGACCCCGTTCGGATTGTGAGCTCCATTCCGGATCTGGTCAACTGATCCCGGCGCGCTCCAAAACACCCAGTGGAATTCGCCATCGGATCCAGATCGAGATCTGGAGCGGGAGCTAATCCAAAACGACCAGTGAAACATGTCGGCCTCAATCCCGATCGCCCAGTGAAATAGGCCCACTCCAGAAAAGTCGATCCCGGCGCGCTCCAAAACGACCAGTGGAATTCGCCATCAGTGTTTTTCTTTCTGTGGTCTTTGATACGAACGTTATCTGTTCTATAAGTTATATCGCACCGTTATCAAGGCCCTCATAAAATTTGGGGCCGTCTGTTCGACTATAGGCTGCTGTACGTCGACTTGAAGTTTTGGGGCGCATTATATGGGACAAAAGGGTGTAAGGTGATAACCTTTTTTTTTTTTTTAGAGTTGCAACTTTCCGGTGTGCCGACCCATTGACTTTCTTGCACAGACTGAGAAGCTTATTTGGTGCTGAAAAAGCAACAATAATGTTAATGCGGTTACCTATCTTCTTGATACCGTGCGAAACTTTATGTATATAGGGAACAACAACCGTCCTTCTTTTTTCTGGACTGCGTTTAGGTCGTTCACCCCATCTTAGTCTCTTTAATAAATCCTCTGTCACGCTGTAAGTAACGTATTAGGATATCCTGTTGACTTTAACCGGGCATTTTGAGCATCAAAGCTAACTTTAAGCGAATGAATACAAGACTTATTGGTGAGACGTAACTTAACAATGCCTCGCTTAACAAACTTGGAGTGTGCTGACTGAAAATTAAGAAGAGGTTTCTACCCCCTCGGTTCGTATGACCAGCACATATGAGGCTCCGAAAAAATTAATCTAAGGTCCAAAAACCGCAAAGAACTTTCTGTTGGGAGCGCATGAGTGATTTCTAGTGTATCTATACTCTGGATTTAAAGCAGGAAAGAATGTTGGGAACCAATATCTGAAAGACAATCGTCATCCTTGTCCAGCTCGCTTTCCCCTTTGCATTTAATTGCATTATCATCACACCCTTAAAAATATAAGCCGTTCACCGTTGTTGGTGTTAGACTGGTAGCAGCTGATAAAACCCGTCTGCTCTACTGGTGTCTAACTCCTGGTTAGCTCAGTTGGTCGAACACTCCACTGGAAATGGAGAGGTGCCGGGTTCGATACCCGGACCAGGCGGATTTTTTCGGTCGCGCACCAGTCACCTAGCTGTGTTTGAAGATTAGTGTTCGTCCTTTGTCCCCGTGTTTCCCCTTCTCCGGGGAATATTTTTGTCCAGCTCGCTTGCACCTTTGCATTTATTTGGATTATAATTATATTATATAACATGTTGTGTTTCAAACCTTTTTTTATGTAATGGCGGACACGTCCTGGGATATACTCTTTCTTCCCATAAACTGAACGCAAACGCAGAACGCCTGATTTCGATGATCGGCTTTCGCGTTCAAGCAGCTACTGAAGACCACCGTGAGAGAAGTTCAGCTAACCTAGCGTCCAGCCATTAATTAGTGCACCAGATGAATGAATAACACACACACACACACACACACACACACACACACACACACACACACACACACACACACACACACACACACACGCACACACACACACACGCACATGCACACACACACACGCACACGCACACACGCACACACGCACACACACACACACACACACGCACACGCACACACACACACACAACACACACACACACACACACACACACACACACACACACACACACACACACACACACACACACACCTTGAGACGCCTTGAGTATAATTTCCGTTTGAACGCGTTTATAATTTCGTTTCCTTCTCAATGTACCGCTTTTTTGCACAGACTGTCCTCTGAAATACATGTTACACATTTCGTAGCGGTTTCCGTGGCGTTTCGTTATACTTTCCTAGGAGATCCCGGCCCTTAGACGCAGGCTGTGTTCAAAACATCTCCGCCTCCGGTACGAGGTTATGCCTCGATCGTATACGGAGCCGTATACGGTGCCGAGTAGTCTACTCACATTATTTCATTATTTTACTGTGCCGATTCGAGTCGCCATCCCGGTAAACTCATTGCAGCATGAGTGCCTAAAACTCTCCCTGCAGAACGCATGTGGGTCAGAGGCTCTGGTAAGTGTGTCGGCGATGTCAGGGCATTTTTATTTCCAGGGTGTCCGTAAACCATTGGAAGTAGTCGCTGAAAGGTGTCTGTGTCTTCGGAATTCTTACTGGCCAATGCCGCAATCTCATTGGTTGTGGAGCGATAATGAGATGCATGTGATTCGCTACCCTGCGTTTCTTAAGATGCCAGAAATTGGAAATACCTTTCGTGTGCATGGTACAATCACAGGTACTTTTACTTTTGGCGAGTGACTATAACTGTATTTGTGTACAATCATTGACCACTTGTAACTACGACAAATTACGTACACGAATTTCCGGTATATAACACACAAAAAAGTGAAAGCCGTTTACAACTCCCTGTAACTCCAAATTAGAGCGCAGCTCTTGAGGAGGAGGAGGAGGGAAGGGTACTGGGGGTGAAGCGACCTGGGGGGGGGGGTCACGTGACCTTGGGGGGTCACGTGACGATGCCGATGATGTCATCAGTGGCGTCACGGATGACGTCATCCGTGATGATGACAATGACGATGCGGATGCCGGTGACGTCATCAGTGACGTAACTGATGACGTCATCGGTGATGATGACGATGCGGATGCCGGTGAGGTCATCAGTGACGTCACTAATGACGTCATCAGTGATGATGACGATGCGGATGCCGGTGACGTCATCAGTGACGATGTCATCGGGGAGGTCACGTGACCTCGGCGGGGGGGGGGGGGGGTCACGTGACCTCGGGGGTCACGTGACTTTGGGTGTCACGTGACCTTAGGGGTCACGTGACCCTGGGGGAGGGGTCACGTGACCTCTGGGGGTCACGTGACCTTGGGGCCACGTGACCTTGAGATGACCTTGGGATGTCGCGTGACCTTGGGGTGACCTTGGTTACGCCGACGCCGACGGCGACGCCAACGGCGACGCCGACGCAGCTCAAGCCGGGAACGGGCCCCTAAGAGCTGCGCTCTAGAAAAGAAGCATAGAAAATAGCTATTTGCAGATGGTGATTCGAAATGGGGTAACCATACCGGGACACTGGGGTTCAGGCTCATAACATATACAGAAGATAGAAGTTCCCATCCCGCAAGGCGCATTATGAGAATTTGAATACCGTATGATATGTCCGGAGATGCAGCGTCCTTGGCACTTCAGGAAGAGATGAGTCAAGTGCACTCTTCCGCCAGCACCTCCCGTATCGCTGGATTCCTGACGTCCCACACCAACGGCCAGCGGCAATGGGGGGGAGGGGGGCGCTGATGGGGCACGCAATGCACTACACTCTAAAAAAAAGGGTATCACCTTACACCGTTTTGTCCCATATAATGCACCCCGAAACTTAAATTAGACGTACAGCAGCCTACAGTCGAACAGGCTGCCCCAAATTTTACGAGGGGCTTGATAACGGTGCTACATAACTGTTTAAATTGCTAAAGTACGTATCAAAGACCACATAAAGAAAACACCGAGTTTTTACAGTAGGGCAAAGAAAACCCCGATCATTTTATTTGCAGTCAGTAACACGTACATTAGCTATTTTAATAAGTTTTACCACACGGCTATCAAGCCCCTCGTAAAATTTGGGTCCGTCTGTTCGACTATAGGGCGCTGTACGTCGAATTGAAATTTGGGCGTGTACTATATGGGACAAAGAATGTAAAAATACACCCTTTTACACCTTTTTTTTTTCTTTAGAGTGATAGTGCTGAGTCCGCGTTCGGCTGCGACTTGTGTACTTCCTGATTGGACAAGAGGTTGAGGCGAACGCTGATGCAAGACCCGTGTCCAATCAGCGCTGGCGTCCGGCAGATGACGTCGAAAATCCAGCACTATACGGTTTCCCCAGGAGGTGTTGCTTCAGCCCTCCTTCACGAATGCCCGGCCGATTGCATAGCTGTCAACCAACAACGCCGCCTACATGGAGTGTTCCCATACTTCGTTTATCCCCGAGCTGACATTGCCATGGAAGCCAAGTGCTCGCCAGACCAGTCAGGCGTCGATCTTTCGGAACGTGATCACGCCCCCTCCCGTATTCGCGCTCAGAGAGCGGGGTCGGGTAATGAAAGGGAGGTGATTGATTGGTCCAGCGAGTGCATAGCTTTTACCGCACTGTCTGCTTAGGGGTGGAGTATAAAACCGTGCCTTCTCTTCGCACTAAAATTAAGAAGTTAGGTTGCTGTGGACTCGGTTGGAGATTATTGTCTTGAGATCAGCAAACTGAGGACACTGAATTATTTCTAGCGAAAATAGTTTAAAAAAAAGTACGCTTGAAGAACATTTTGAATGAAGCATCTGCCTAAGTAGCCTGTGTAGATCGTTGACCCGCCTCTTAACTGTATCATTGGTCTGCTTTTAGAGCAACGTTCAATATTAAGTTACTATACTCGTATTCCTCAATAACCGTAGTAAAACAAGACCGTCTCCTTGCGGAAAGTTACTTATTTCCCCCTTCCTTCGTTGTATTAAGATATGTGTAGGTATTTCTTTGATTAGGTTTTTTATTTTATCTAGACTTACACGTTTCGAAAGACCACAATTATCGCTTCTATTTTCGACAACCAAGTCTTGTAAGAACAATTTCACGCAGAACGTCCTTTTTTCTTGATGTGAAGAGTATAGCTTATTTTAAGTATGAGAACTGACTTGCCCTTCTTCGCGAGGCTGCAGGAATACCCGGTGTTATTTTAAGCGATTATACTTTCCCTGTGCGGTAGGCCCCATTCAATAGCATGATATAAAAAACAAACTTAATCTCACAAAGGTTTAAACATATTCATGATTGTGAAGAGGTTAGGAAGACATCGGCTCCACAGGTGGACACATAGCCTTGGTGGCAAGCTTCTGGTCCGCCTTGGAGGCACACTGGTACGCGTGCTGAAATTCGGGCATGCTCTCGAGTGGCATCTGACACCTGTGGCGCATACGCAGGAAAGATGGTCTGTGTTCGAGGAGAGCGTGACTGCAGAACATTGTACAGAGACGCTGAAAGAAGAGTCGGTCGATGGCTACTTGTTCCTCCCAGGTGTACGCGGACCGCGAGCCAAAGTGGTCTCGATACATTCTATAGGACGCGCGAGCGGCCTGGGAAAGTCTCAAGAGTTCGACTCTTTGAGCGTGCGTAAATCTGCGAAGTTTGAAATCGAGCGTGTTCCCGCACGATGTATTCGTGCTGAAATGGTCCGGAAGAGCTCCCAACAGCTCTTTGGCGAACTGGGTCGCTAAAATTCCGTAGTTGAAATGTTCTTGATCTTGCCTAACGTAGAAGTAAGCCGGAACGAGGTTCTGAGACGCCACGACTACTGAGTTGGTGGATTTGACGTACGTTAGGCCCCCCGTTCCACTGTATCGCAGAGAGCCTTTCTGCTGTGTCGTTGAAGTTCGTGCCCAGTCTGATTCGTGCCTCAGCCAACTTCCTCCTAACGATAAACATGTCCCTGATAAAGTCGTCCGAGAAAACGCGGGTCGCATTTTTGAACTCGTTAAACGGCGAAAAAGTCAGCAATGCTATTTTTTTTATCAAGGTCCGGGCGATTTGAGTCTCGTCGACCGAAACGTTTGAGTTGCCTCTTAATTCAAACATAACTGAAGACTTGGTTCGCTGGAATAACAACTGGGCTTTGCTTTCGCGGTTGTCCTTGATGAGCAGGGAAGCCTCGAGCGAGGGATAGTCATCGTGGAAGAACTGACTGACCAGCTCAGTACACGTCACATAGTGTCCCAGTTTGTCCGCGTCAAAGTATCGGTCATAGAACTCGTAGCGTACCACATCCGACGTTAAGACAATGATAAGGTGCATGGCTCGTACGTAGCTGCTCGCCTTGCTGAAGATAACGAATGCTCTTTGGAGATTTGAAAGGCCCGTGGTGTTTACGATCGCACTAGAGTTTATGCCTGTTGGAGATGGTACGATGGCGTTGACGGATCGCATCCAAGTTTGGGCCGTGACGTTTTCAAGATTGAGTTGACCAATCGGCACGAGCTTACTCGAATCGGGGGTATTCGTCGCTTGGTGAAGGGCATCATCCAACTCCACAACCCCTTGAACCATGTCGTCGCCCCAGGGACCAGGAGTTACAGCCTCAATCATGGACGTGACGTAAATATAAAGCTTGTCTACGCTGTACGCGCTCGCCGAGCAGTTTCGGATCGTTTGCCCGAGGCCGATGCTCAAACTCGCGTTCCTCGTCAACCTGACCCAAAACAAGGACGCCATGTCGTACAAAAGGTTCAGCTCCACGAGAGAGGGCATCAGCTCGCCGATGGCCATAGAGCGCCATGAGGTGACGTTGATGTCTAGCGCCTTGAGCACCTCAGCCATGATCTGGCGCACCGTTTTCTGCTTTCCTACGTGATCGATGCAGTTCCTATACAACGTGGACATGGAGGCGTGGACGCTTCGTTCGCGTTCAGGATTGTGCGAGGCCATGAAGTGCGTGTGAACGGCGCTCTTGGCCGCGCGACGGTGGTCTTCGTGGAAGGACGAATACCTCGTCGCGTGTCTGGTCCAGCGACCGCAGACGTACGTGTAGAAGTCCTCGCAGGGGTCGACGTCGGTGGTCAGCAAGTCGCGCATCGCATCCTGCAGGGAGACACACAACGCCGAATGACATGTTAGCTCCTGAATCCTGGTCTTGCCGAAGTATCGCCGCATGATTGGAACCCCGGACAGCCAGAAGACCAGAGAGATGGCGATGATTATAGTGGTGACCTGGCACTTGCGGTCCGCCAGGTCCTGAAAGCTGTCCAACCTCGACATGGTCTCTGGAGAGCTCGACCCTGTTGGGGGAAAAAAAGGGGCGCAGAATGGTTACGCAAAGAAGGACAATATCCTGTAGTCTGTTAAAGACAGTGTTGGGAAGTCGTTCAGTACATTTTACTTAAAGTGCTACTTCAAGTAGGTTCAGAAAACTTGTACTTCACTCGAATCACCCTTTCTGAGTATGTACTTGTATTTTACTTGTTTTTTTCTTTCCTAGTACTTTCTGAGAAATGTACAACTCGCAACTTCAAAGTACATTCTCCAAATTTGGCCTTGTTAAGGTTGGGAGGGATATTCTACTTTCAGCAGAAACGCGAGCAGAAGGCACATCGCTCCGCTTGTTTTGGGGGCGGCTTTCCCGTAGGTTTTTGAACTCTCGCTACCTCTCGGTCGGTCAGCGCACAAGCGAGGAGGTTAAAATATTAGAGGAGGACAATAAGTCATAATGCGAAGCCTGAGACTGTGGTGCAGAAAAATTAAGAAACTTTCAAGTCGTTGAAAAAGGCACCAGAGGAGAACGTCTCCAAGAATATTTTGAGACGTTCTCCCCTGTTGTCTTTTCCTTCGACTTGAAAGTTTCTTAATTTTTCCGCACCACAGTCTCAGGTGTCACATAATGATTAATTATCACCCGCTCGCCTGCACACTCAGTTGTTTCGTTAAGGAAAGGACACTCCCCTACGAGAGGATTTCTTGTGGAAGCTACGGGGCCGGCGTCGTGCTCTCTCGTAGTATGTTTTCCCCCTTGGGCGCAACAGGCCAGTGCAAGCGGCGCCAAATTCAGGAGCAGGAGCGACTTTCGAGCCTTGCGCCGTTTCTCGAAATAACTACTCTTTAGCCACTTGACTTTATCAATATTCGCCGCCATTTTCGAAAATAAGTGATGCGCCCCCGACTACCCTTAAAGTAAGGCCTACCAGATTAAAAAAATATATATATCACTGTATATGAGACTGAAAGAGCATCATGAAAGAGTGCGTTAAAAAGTACTTTACTTTGAAAGTACGTTCTATTTATAGTACTTTAGTTCAAGTACGTTGCACCTAGTGTACTTACTACTTTACTTAAAGTACATCATCTCTAAATTACTTTGTACATTTCTTTGAAAGTACATTTTAGATGTACTTTACCCAACACTGGTTAAAGGTTTAGAGTAGGCAAACCTTTTTCCAGCCCTTACCAGGCAACATCGGCGGTCGGCACATCTTGGCGACCGCCGGTGATATCCCACACTGCCTGGTGATAGTTGGGGGGAGAAAATTGGTCTTAGAGGAGCGGGAGAAATCATATGTTTGTCTTTTAAGACTTAGGCTAGGTGTCGCAAGCTACCGCCCGTTACAAAGGATAAAGCCATTAACATCCATCCATCCATGGGCACGAATCGTGTGATTGGATCCGAGTCCTGGCCGAACGCGGACGCTGCACTCGGTTTTGACACGAGCTGTGCCGAGTTTACGCCGAATGCTAAGGGAACCCTCGCGTCTAATAGGTGCTCAGCGTGTGTGCGCCCAAACCACTGATCTCCATGACGATTGCTCGATCGCGCATCCCAGCTCCGCGAGTGCGGCCACTAAACGGCCATCTTGTATGCCGTTTTTTTTTTTTTGTTTTGTTTTTTTGTTAGTGTCGTTTGCCGGAAGGTGTGAGGTGTGATACTTGCCGTTGAAAACACGAGGAAATTTTTAACAAAGCGCAGTGCCGCAGGATAAAGACAATTCGTCGAAAGCAAGTTTCGCCGGTCTGGCGGCGTGATCAAAGCTTCCTTGGCACGCCCGGCTGTATCTCTGTCCCTTCGCAGGCTTGGATACCGATCGAGAATCGACGCCGTGTGAATGTGCTTTGCGAGTGCAATGGCCGCACTCGCGCTGCAGCGAACAAGCGGGGGTGTGCGATCCAACAATTCTCATTCATATCAGTGGCCCAAACAATGGCGGGCGCGGATAATGCAGATGGTTGAGCGCGCTCTTTTTTTTAACACACTGGCTAGGTGGCGCAAGTCGCCGCCCGATTCAAAGGGTTCAGCCTCATCCATTCATGCATCGATCCGTCTATTTCAGGACAAACACTTCTCACGAAGATCTCTGCTCGCCGAAATCGGTAGTTTTGTCCTCTCTATTCGCCTCCTCTCCAGCGTTCGCTCTGCTAAAGGGGAAAGAGTGGAAAGCTTTCTGGGAGGAGCTTTCCTTAACCTGCAACAGATTACAGTGGGCGTTCCTGTCCAGTGCTGTGTAAACAATCGCAAAGGAAACGCGTTTTTGTTTTCTCTCGTTTATTTGTTTTCATCGGTGTTATCGACAGAGAGAAGCCTCGAAATTTGCACCTGGAACGATTCCGTTCGTTTGTTCGATTCACACTCGTCCTTCAACCCCCCCCCCCCCCCCCCCCCCCCCCGCTCCCTTCCATTATAATTCGAGGAAAAGAGGACATTTAAAATAATTAAGACAGTTATTCTGAAGATGATGAACGGTAATTTGCCTGGCAGTCATGTCGCTTAAAAGCAAATTTTACGATTCCTTTCATTGTTTTTTTTTATTATTATTATGTTGTTTATGTTTGAGACTTGTTAGAGGTAATGAAATTACTTGTAATCAATTATTTCTAGAAACTCAAAAATAACTTTGTTACACTTATTTAGAAGTAATCGCAATATTAATTTCATTACTTTTGTAAGTAGTAAAATTACTTGTAACCGTTACTGTTTTTTCCTCCCCTTCTTATGTAGCCCTTTGTATCTAGAAGTTTCCTCCACGTAATCCTCGAACCACCAAGTCTCCAACGAGAGGACGGTTTACCGAAATCTGTGAATTAAGAAAATAACTAATCTATAATTCGGCGATTCTAATCCAACAATGGACAGTATAAAAAAAAAAGAAAGAAAGAAAAGCATTTTCAAACCGGCCCATTGTCGTTTTGAAACTTTTAAGTAATGGGAAAGGGAAGGTTGCTTTTTTTTTTTAGTAACGGCCAATTACTTTTTTTTCAAGTAATCGAGTAATCTAATCCAACATTTTAACCAAGCGTATATCTAATTGTAATCGATAGTTTTTTTTTTTTTTTTTTTTGCGAGTAACATTTGTACAAGACAGCTATGCTTAGATAGCATGAAGTTAGTTAGCTTCATTCCGCATCTGGGCCGGCTTGCTAGAAACCACGTCTCGGCTGAGCCTGGGTCAAAAAAAGCACTGCCAAAGCCAGCGCACGAGCTGAGCGGGACTCAAACCGCGTCTCAAGCAAGGTGTAAGATAGACAGGTGGGGAAACGAGTGCCAAATGAGCGACCGGATTGTGTCCCCCTCGGTTTTCTCTTTTTCTGTGGCGCCATCTATGTGGAGCACCGCGAACTCTCACTCCGAGTGGGCGACCGGTGGCGACCGACTAAACTGACGGAGATGATTTCTCGTGGATTTTCAATGGATGACTTTCGTGCTCTCGGTTTATTTTGCGCAATATCCCATAAAGTTCCATGCAAATCCGATTCCGATTTTTTTTTTCTCGCCGCAGCGCCATCTGTCGCAAATCGGCAGTACCCGCAAGCAGACGAGTACACAATCCGGTCACGGCGCTGCGGTAGGCTTCTATGGGCCGTTTCCCCACCTGTCTATCTTAATAGCGAGTTCGTTTCACACGCACTGGCACCGTTCGAGTTCTCTCCCAGAATGCACCGCACTCTCAGAGTGTTGCACGGAAAACTGGACTCAAACGAACTCGCCAAATGCACCAAGTGCAGAAGACTGATGCTGCCGCCATCTATGTTGTAGAAAAGGTACCGACTTCAAACCGAAACTAGCGCCTTTCTGATCGGAGTGATGGGTGGGAATGCGAGAATGCAGTCGCTACCAACGTTTATCTACGAACGTTGGTCGCTGCAACCTGTAGTTTATAGTTGCGATGACTTCAAGCAGCTCGGCTGCCGTAGAGATAGTTACAGACGGCGTAAATTTCCGCAACCAGCTGTCTACAAAGCAGCTGGTTTCGATCTTTCAATTCTTATAACCGTTTACACTGAAGAAAACTGATGATGCTGTCCGAGCACAAGCATGATCCGTTTGAGCATGGTATTATGCGTGAACCACTGAAAGGCTGCGGCTTAAAACTAGCCTGTTGGAATATCCAGCAAAACTGGGACTTTCGATTTGGATCGTCATTATAGGTGGATCAAATGATCCACCTATAATGCCTCGGTGAGGGCGTCGAGAACGAGAGCATTCTCGAACAAAATACGACGGGCCAAGTTAGCTGACGTAGGTAAATGTTAAACATGATGATGTTGCCCAATCCTCGGGTAAAGTTACCATCTTTAGCTTTCTCTGATGCTTATTGGGCAGTCAGAGGTTTCTGCTGAGAGAGTTTTGTCGACAAATGTTAAATTTTTCACCCGCACACGGACGGTGATAGATATCTCGGGAGCCGCTTTTACGTCTGTTCTGAGCATTCCTTTACACATTGGTATATTTCAGCGTCTGTGCGGCAACAGAGCGATTTAAAACCTGCAAATAAATCACGGGTTGTCAATTGCTTCCTTCGGAAAATAGCAGACGCTCACAATTCAAGCTCGCGTTTGATTTCGTGGCCCGTGGGACGCGATTTCTATCAGAAAATCTACTTTTTTTTCCGTTCGGTTTCGCGACACATCGTAGCAGACGAACCCTCGTCGTCTGCTCCCGCTCCTCGCCGGCCCCGCCGGAGCGAGGCATGACGGGATTGCATTTTGGCGCACTCCCGATTTTCTCAGTGCAGCGAGTGCATGCACGCGTGGGGTGTCAGCGCTGAAACGAACTCGGAGAGTGCAACCACTCGTGGAGTGCCGGCCGAAACGAACCCGTTCCACGCTGCGAGTGGGCACGCGTGGGCACGAGTGCCGTGAAACGAACTCGCTATTACACCCTGGTCTCAAGGCTCTCGCTCGCCCCAGCATTTTCAGTGCTTTCTTTCACCCAATCTCAGCCGAGACGCTGTTCTAGCAGGCCAGTCCTGGTGTCTCAGCTGTAGATGAGAAATTCAGTCAGTGCAAAGATATCTGCTGGCGCTTCGGGTCTTTAATTAGCGTGCATGTCACGTGGTGAGTGACACACGCTCGCACGCATCTAGAATTCTCACTCGGGTCAAAACCGGCGGGGGTCGGGAACAAACCCCGGGAGTTTTCATGTTTTTAAATACAAAGTGGCAATACAAGCTTTCTCGAAAAGAAGCTCTCCGATTTCCTAGAGCTTCATTTTTTTTTATGGATGTTGAATAATTTTATAAGATTAAGAATTGACTAATTTAGAAATTTTGTTCCAAACAACATAAGTTCTTTTTTCTCGTCTCCATTAACATTAAAAAAAAAAAGTTGTCGAAATTGGTGCGCTGAGATTTGCAATAAAGTAATTTAAAAAAACGACGAAAAAACAACAACGTTGACTTCGTTCCAGGGTGACCCAAAGATTGGTAACAGTACTGGCCGAGAGAAGAGCGCAGTCCTTGGTATTCTGATAACAAGAACGTACACCCACCCGCGGACAACATGAACTCAAACACCCGATCCAAATTTTTTTATTTTTCTGCGTCTGTAGTCCCCACAATTTGCCATAAAGTTCAAAGTATGAATCCTGAACTTCGCATACCATTTCTAGATTGGGCCACAGCTCTCTCATAAAACTTTAAGATTCGCGTGAGAAGCGGACTGTTTCAGCCCATATTGTTCACGGTCGATAGTACGTGGTGGGGACAGCAGCAAACCGGCTAAAACTTACACGACATCAGTTTGGAGGATGTCGGACTCGTCTTCGTCCTTGTCTTAGGTTTAGAAACGCTCCTTTCTCTGAGCGCAGTTGGAGACCCGCTGCCGGTTTTCCGCATGACAGGCCCATCCAAGCGACGACTCTTCAAATCGAGGCCCGAAGGAAGTCTGTCGTTGAAGGGAGGCCGTTATTACGTCCATTCGACAACAGATAGACCTTTTTAAAACCCTGTGCAGGCCATACTTGAGGGCGATGTTTAGAACGCATGCTCAGAACGAGCTCACATTGAGCGGCTGCTAAGACCGGCAATCTGCGATGGCTCGTAATGCACGCTGCAAAAGAACTGTGGAAGCTCGCCGTCAGCACGCGATAAGCATTTGCGCACACAGCTATGGCCGCCAGTGAATACTCCCCATTCTATAGCTCTTGTTCCTTATCTCCCTTCACGTACGTAATACAAAAAAAAAAAAAGATGTATCGCTTTGGTTGCGCTATCAGTGATATCTCTGACGCTTTTCGCGTGCGAGAGATCACAACTGCCCTAAAAACAAAACAAAAAAAAAAGGGGGGGGGGGGGTCACACTGCTTACACAACATACAAATGAGTCTGCAGACATCAGTCTGCCGCGTGCCAAGTCATGCGGCATTCGAAGCACAGATCTGGCTGTGATCGGCGTTCGAATCTGTTCGCAGGCTGTCTTTTGTATGATGTATAAGCAGCGTGACCCCGGCTTAACTGAGCATTAACATTTCTGGGGGACAGATAGGCATTTTCTGCGATTTCAGATAAAGCTTCAGATAACAGACAACAATGATTTGAAGCAGCAAGACGGCCGAAGTGTCGTTACTCTGAAGCACAGGTTATTTAGTGGCTCTAAACGTAGCTGTAGAAAGTATTGACTGGGCGCCATGTTTGTGGGTTCTGTTTAAAGCGCATGCTCAAAACAAGCTCACATTTATAGGTTGCTGAGACCGGCAATCTTGATGGTGTGGAATGCACGTTGCAAAAGAACAATGGAAGCACGCCACCAGCACGCGCTCAGCGGTCGCGCACACAGCTATGGCCGCCAGTGAATACTCCTTATATCTGAGTCCGCCGCTGCTGAATTCCACATCAGTGAGGTTGTCGTTCTTGGCAGACGACGGGTGAAACTGGGAGCTTGTTCTGAACATGCATTATGATCGTTTGATTTACCTGCACCTCTTGCACCGGTACGGAAAAATACAGGACGGTGTACTTCCGGTTGTATCTCAATAGACACGTTTCAAACATTTAAAAAATCAGGCACCAATAAAAAAAAAAAAAAACAATTTACTGTACATTGGTGGAACAACCGACAGAGCGGAACATGCGAGTAGCGCGAACGCCCTCGACTTGTGCTCCCGCTGCATCCCGCTGCACGCGAGGGCTCATGCGGCCGGGGCGCAATCCAATCGAACGCAAGAAGCTCGCACCTGTGTCTACCATTGTGCAGGGAAGGATAGTGGGTAGACCTCAAAGCAAGCTGCCTTGAGGTCTACCCGCTATCCTTCAATCAGGGCCAATCAGAGCTCGGCGTTCTGACGTCACCACAACTCCTGTAAAAGAAGCAGACGAATTTGCGCTCCGCATACACCATACCGGAACTACACTGCCCTACACTCTTCTGCACCTCCGGAACGAGCTAAAATATGACATCAACTGGACGTTTACTAGGCCGGCGTTCGAAACTGTACTCACAGTGTGAGAGGACTGTCTCGCTCTGTTTTCTTCTCCGAAGCCAGCTTCTCTAAATCGCTCGAACCGTCTCCCTTTTGACCAAACGATGTTTCCGCAGCGTCGTGTGTTCCTGAAAAGTAATTTTCTCCTGAAATGTCATCCGACGAGGGGCTGGGGGAATCCATCATCGCTCGAGATGTCCAACGCTTTGGGAACCGCTCTGGGTACATCGAGTCTTGAGACTTTGCCGGAGATGATTCGCCATAGCTGCTGGATGGTGTTCTGACGGGAGACACGAGACCGTGGCTTGACGACTTCCCCGACGGCACCTCTCGGATGTCCGTTACACGTCTACTCATAGCAGAAAAGGAAAGAGTAAGAGACATATGATTTCCTCCTTTTCGTCTTTTTTTTCTCTTCTAGCTTCTCATCATCGTTGTTTTTCAGGCGTGTATCAATAAACCGTGGTTTGAGAGTTGGCAACCTCAGGCTAGCAGTCGTACTACATTGGCTAAATTTCTCATCTACAGTGGATAACAATAGGTGTACTTTTGGCAAACCGTTACCGTGTTCCGCATACCAGAATAGGGAGTACTCACAGGCGACCATATCCGTGTGCGCTGCTGCTGAGCGCGTGCTGACGGCGAGCTTCCGCAGTCCTTTTGGAGCATGCATTTAGCACCACCAAGGTTGCCGATCTTAGCAGGCTATTAATATGAGCTCGTTCTGAGCATGCGCTCTAAATATCGCCCTCAAATATGGCGTCCAGTGAACACCTCCTATACTGGAGGTGTTCACTGGGGCGCGTGATTAAAAGCACGCTTCAAAGACCCCGGTAACGATTTGCTAAAAGTTCACAATGTCATCATACACTGGCAGACTAAACTCCTGCTATCTAAACAACTAACGACTAATTTGTTTGTTTTTGAGAGTTGCGAAAGAGTCAAAGACTCCGAGTGTGTAAATGGTTATAAACACGGAGCCTGATTGCAGCTCGGAGCACGTGGATCAAAAGCTCAAGCATACATTACCCATAGATCCTCAGTTCAACCTCCGGTGGTGTGTTTCTACTGTGTGATGCACGTTAAGTACCCTGGGCTACCAGTCGTATTTGACTGGCGCGTTACGCCGTCTAAACACCTCATATCTAAGTTCAACTTGATTTGCTTTGACAAGCTCCGATGTTGGCCAAAAATCAGTTTAAATTATCTCAAAGAACGTAAAAGGAAGCACGAAACCGGCACCAACAAACAACGTTGTACAAAAACACGAACTTGTAAACTTCCCCGCTTTCACATTTTAATGTGAGCCGTGTCGTTACCCTTAATTCTTTTCCACCGGCCATGTTTACCATTTCCATGTTTGCTAATAAAAACCGTTCTTTCTGTCTTGTTATTTTAAGACCATTTCTACCAAGCATCTCCCCCGACAGAACATGCATGTACTGCAGCTAAAGCGGCTGCAGCCACGAACTGATAGCCGTGTAATTTGTCTTGGGTGCACAAATTTCCTGACAGTCTGAAGTTGCAAGGTTAAGGCGCGACGAAGTATAATATTTGATCACATTCCCAGCGACTTGTTACGTAAAATACGAGCGTGTTCTTTGGTTATATAATTATTTACCTAACTTGTTTCAGAATTTTAATCGAGGTGTACAGAGCTTTTTCATTCTTTCCAGAAACCCTGATAATTACATTACAAACTACTGTACCCATCCCATTCATTAAACACTAAAATAAATTTATAAACAATTTCCGCCTCAAACTTTGTAGTTCGCCCCATGTAGGGGCATGCAGGCGAGTACCAGGATGCGTGCATTCGAAATTCTGACCAATAAGCCAACCCTCTGAACCAGAACAAAAACATCACGTACAAATAACTGTATACGTTGCCTCCTCCACTCTATTCATTTCAGTCAAACATACAAAAATCAGATTTATGTTTCACATAAAATCAGGCTTCTTCGTCAGATGAGGTATCTCCCGTTAAGTCAATCACGTATCTTCCATCGGCGAGCAGCGCCCCCTTGCTTTTTGACTCAAATCCGGGTTCGACTGGAGTCCATTTTCCTTCTGGAGATATTTGCACCAGGCCAGATTTCTCAGGCAAAGCGTCTAGCATTTCCAGCGTGAACAGATCTATGCGCAGCTCTTTCACCTTTACGCTCTGGTCGCACACCGGACAGCGCCAGAAGGGACGAAGAGTGCTCTCGTTCAGCTCAAGGTACGCCAGGGCATCGAAGCACTGGACATGACGACAGTCCACGCCGCGGCACGGCACTTGGAGTCTTGTCTTCTTCAGAGGGCAGTTGAGGGACACCGTCAAGAAATCCACGATGACATCTTCGCAGTTTCCACTCGTCAGCAGGTCATGAGCCAGTCTTTTCGTGGTGGCTACGTCGTGGATGCTGTTGTGGCCTTCGGCGACAGAGCGCAGTAACTCGTCCTTCGGTACCTTTTCTACGACGTGAATGGCGACACTGAAGTCGTCAAGAATATCCAAGCCCACGACAGAGAAATGATTACTCCTGAGAGCGACGTACCTGCTTATATCAAGTATCTCCAGAGGTACGCCAAAATACGGCACACGATTAATACGTAGAGTTACCTTGCACTGCTCGTGTGCCTCCGGTTTTGAAGTGTGGCTCATGCACAGAAACACGCGCTTCTTCTCGCCGTCGACGTTCAAGCCCTCGCACAAAAGTGTACAACTGAAGTGTCGATTGTAGCGACTGAGTTTCCAAAGATCATTGCGGGTGCCGCAAATTCGATAGAAAGGCAGAAGGGGCTGTAGACCTCTTGCACCGGACGATGACATGACCGTTGAATGAAGCTCCAATACTGGTCATTCAAATGAGGAGGCAACGTTTAAATCCGCCACAGAGTGGTGCCCGTGCTACTTCACCCGAGGACGAGGTAGAAGGAGATAAATAAACTATATAGAAATATTTTTATTACTTTATGCTTATGACGCTCATAATTTTAAACATATGGATCTTTGCAAGGTTCAGAGTATTTGAGTACGTGCAAACAAACACCGCAAACCCGCAAACAACATAGCTCACTTTTTCCTCTTTCAGAGTTTCGTTACTCGCATTTGAAGGAAAGGTGCACCCGACATTCAGTTGCCTTTCCACTTTATACAAGCTTACAGGCAAAAATGCGTCCCTAGAGCATACTCGCACGCAACGCTATTAACTAAGAAAGAAAAGCGACCGTTTTCTTTCAATCTCTCTTTCTAAAAACTTGATGAAGTAGGCCGGACGTCGCAGGGTTGGCATATAACGTTGGCATATAGTCCCTCGAGTGACGATAATTGAATGCGGCGCACAGATTGCACCCGAGCATTACGCCAGCACTCGACTTGGGCTCGTGATAATCAATAGCTCGACAAGCATTCGGACAGTGTCTCGTGTCCAGTCGTTGCGATGGAGACAATAGCCGAACCCTAACAGTGTCCGGAACTCAACGCGCCTTGCCAACCCCAGTGCGTGGATATGATAAACATTGGCGGCATTTCATCGACCCCAGATCAGGTGGTCACGTGTTCTGGATGCAAGCTGAAAAACTGGGGTGTGTGTATGTTTATACAGCCTAGAACTTGGTCTGCCTCAACGGGCGACGATTCTCCCAGGTGTAGATGAGCAAT